AAAAATCAAATAAAGAAGTGGTGAAGGAGAGCAGTGCATTAGAACTTAATATTCTGAGCAAAGATTCCTGGCAGACGAAGAAGGGTTGATAGGAGCACTGTTGGTGTAATAGGTTACTCAGTGTCTTCCTAGGCTGCTAACCTCAAGGGTCAGTAGTTGGAAACCACCAGCTGCTCCTGGGGAAAAAGATGAGGTTTTCTACTCCAGTAAAGAGTCACAGTCTCAGGAACTCACAGGCGCAGTTTTACCCTGTCCTGCAGGCTCAATAAGAGTTGGCATCGACCGGATGGCAGTGGCAGGGGGAAGAGTGGTTTCTATTTACAGTAGGAGTCTTTGGTCCATTTTGAATCTACTCATAGACTCCCTCTCCAAGGGGACTTCTTCAGATCCATTTTGCCCTCAAGCAGTTGTTCGCTGCCACTCCCCAGACCAGCCCAGGGAGGGGCAGTCTCACCCTCAGGGGCTGGCCTGGCAGTGCCCTAGATGGAAATTGAGGTACTGGGTCTGAAAGGTCAAGAGTCAAGCTCTGAAACCAACCAGGGACTTGAACCAATCTTACAAACTTTTCTAATCTAGCTATTAAGAGTACTTATCCCAGTCTCTATCCCTTTCCCACTGCAGCATCTCTCCTGGTTTTGTGAAGGGTTCCTCTTGTTCTGCGGGCTTTAAAGCTAGCCACTGGATGCTCTGGATACCATTACGGCCTCGCACAAACGGTCTCTGACAAAGAGGTCCCAACAAAGTCTGTCTGAATTGTGGGTCTCTTCCCCCACCAAAGCAGAACAAGCCGGTTTCATAGTCAAGTAAAAATCCTCTCAACCTCTTAAGGCTGTTGCAAGGATTACAGGTACATAAGGCATCTTACCAGGATCAAATTATGGGCCACGTAATAAAACCATGGGTCACACAATCCTTCCAGAAGCTAATGATAATGGGGGCCCTAAAAACAAAAAACTAAACTCACCACTGAGTCAATTTGGGCAGGGCAGAACTGCCCCGAAGGGTTGCCAAGTCTGTAAATCTTAACAGGGGTAGAAAGGAGTGGTGGGTGGCTTCGAACTGCTGATCGTGTGGTTAGCAACTCAATACGTAACCACTGCACCACCTAGAAAATGTCCAGGTAACTCTGTACAGTAGGGATTTTAAGAACCTAATATTAAGGGGGATAAGTACTACTTCTTTCTGTAGGTCCAAAAGTTTGAAAATATTCTGGATTCCGCTTGTGACCAATAAAACTTAATCCTACTCATGCTGAAACAAGCAAACCCTGCCTTTGTTAACATCTCAATTCCATGCACCAACATACCTGGTGTTGAGTACGGAAACAAGACTTGATAAACTAGCCTAGAATGAGTGGAACTGTTTTCCAATGTGAAGCTCCAACACACACCCAAACACCCTTCCAAAAGGTAAAGAAAAAGCCCCTACACGCCACCCGCCCGGCTGCATGGAGTTCTTAGGAAGGCTGAAATCAATTAATTATATGAGCCGGCCTCCAAGTTCCAAAAAGAATGTACTAACACATACGTTATCATTTACCAAAAAAAAAA